CGTTTATGGTCCAAAGATGCTTGTAAGCTTTCCCCTGTGATTATAATAATCACAAGAGTTTATCTGAGACCATGGTTTTCTAATGTAAAAACCTTTGGAGAAGGTTAATGACGTTTGCGACAACTTAAAGTACAAAGTACAAAAATGTAACCTTATTCTGGTGGTAGCGAATTCTTTGGGGGCCCGTTAGAAACTACGATTGCCTTCATACTTAACAGTTTCGCAGATGCCAGCATAATTTTTCTTCTTTCTTTTTTTAATTTAACCGTTAAAATAATGATCTTTTCAAGTTACGCAGTTCAACTATTATTTCGTTAAAAATTTTATAAATCTTATCCTTTAATGATACGAACTCGTAAACGTTTTCAAATAAAACTTTTATATAACAATGAACAAGAGTTTGTTTTTGTTTTATTACTTATAAAAACTGTAAATTTCTCCCTTATATTTGTATAATATATATATATTAGTCTTAAATGTTACCAGCCGAAACATTTTATGAAAAGACGTTGGCGTTAAATATATATTTGTAGAGACTTCTCTTCAGTTACGAGCTTAATATTATAACTTTCGGCTATAAGTTAGTAGGAATATTGCGCCAAATAACTGAATCTAATTTTTTAATTTTGTATGTATACGAACATCTAATTTTATTAAAAAATATTATAAATTTAAATATGTGCAATATAAATTAAAGAAAAAGTTAGTCTATACTTTTATATTAGAGTTTTTTTATGAGCCATCATGGCTTAAGAGATTTTAAAAAGATGATTGTTGACTAAAATTATATTATACTATTTATTGGCATGCGCCGACTGTTGATTAGTGCAATCTTCTGTCGGGGGCGAGGGACTGGTCTTCCTCGGAGCCACTCCCTCATGACATCTAGTATATGTTCGTAATTTTTTTTTTACCGCAATGGGGGTTAAAACCCTTTTAGCTGCTTATAGGTCATCTGACTCTTCGCAGTAGAGTTAGCTCTCTAAGTGGCAACCCCATTTTAAGCCTCGAGAAACCCTCCAAGCAAGCCATGGCATATTTATGTAAGCACGTGCTAAGTTTTTAGTGTAATGACCCCATACTACTAGCATTAATTAAAAGCCTATTTAGTTTCTCATAATGGATACTTGTTGTCTTTTTTAAATATACAATTATTAAAAGTTTGAACTATGGGAGTATTAAAGCATATATACATATAATTTATAACTAATAAAGGTATACGCATTTGCGTTCGTTACGGTGTGCCATTTTTGTATAAGGCATAATTATATAAGGATAATATGAAGAAAGCTTGCAGTCAGATATAAATTACCTGAAATTATAAAGTTACTTCGTCTGCTGGTAGGGGTTAAATTCAAGTTTAATCTAGATTTTGATTTCTATAACTTTTAAACATTTCTAGATAAAAAAAGTCTAAAAAACAATTTTTTACGCGGATATCCTGCAAGTGTACTTTCAATTATTAAAATAGTAACTAACAAAGCTAAAATTGTAATTTTGTAAAACAGTTTTTTCTTGTTCAAGCAAAGATATTTAGTTATACAATTAGAAAACGTGGAGCGCATCTTTATTTAAGGGTAGCCAATCCACACCAGTCATATCAAAGAGAATTTGGTTTTATACGGGAGGTCAAAATATAAAAATACGGAAACACCAGCCTTATTGTACATGACACGCAAAGTGAGCGGGTTTGTGGGGAAAATGTCTTACTATTGCAGCTATTTTTATTGTGCAGTGTGTTAGTCTATGTTTATTAGTAATTTTTTCCTATTTATTCGCCATCTACTTTCTAAATTATGAAATTTTAAATTAGGTGACTGAAAAGTACGATAAAAATAAAATGACGTGCCCAATCCGGTTAGAGCCCGCTACAAGTCTAAATTAATCGAAGAGAGCGTTACTATAAAGTTTATATAACCCTTTTTAAAACCCGATGAATCACTTCCTTTAAACTAAATTAATATTTCGGACGTTATTTAATAAAATTTTTTTTATTACCCTCGCCACTCAAACAATACGCTCCTGTTTATTCCTGACTTTTGGCAAACTCAACCGCTTGTTTAAAAAAACGAATAGCGTTTTACCTTGTTAAACTTCCAAAATATATAATTCTGAAGGGCCTTTATAAATATGAAAGACGTCTGTAGTCTCATATTTATTTGTAAGAGATATAGCTTTATTTGTAATAACGCTTTATCACCATCTTCTTCCACTAGCCCGTTGGCAATTGCTATAATTAAGGTCATAAATCGGGTTAGCAAACCTAAACGTTCTTTAAAACTCATTAGGGTTTTGTTAAGGGCTTTTATTACTAAAAAGATAATATTAAATTTGTTATAATAAGTGATTTCTACTTAACTATTTAACTAAACTCTTACACTTTAATTAACTCTCAGAGCGGCGCTACAAACATAACCAAAATACCGGTGCCGTCAAAACAAAAAGGTTTAATAAAATTTTACAAAGGCCTTTTCGCGCAGATTTCCGTCTTTTTTAAACTGGATAAGCTTTTTCGAAATCAACGTTTTCTAAAATAAGTGGCTAAAAATTCTGTAAATCCATAGTATAGAGGACAAGCTGGGCTAAGAAAACAATCTTCAGCGACAAGATTATATCTTAAACTTAAGTCCTTCTTGTGACATTCTCTTAGCAAAAAGGAATTACGCAGTACTATTAATTAAGGTTCAAAAACACATATGCACTGCAGGACAGATCTTCGGCTTGTTATATTAATTATATATTTTTTATTACACAATCATTCAGTATTACCTTAAAAATTATTTTTCACAAATACCATCCCTCCATCCCCTACAACGATCTTCAATTGCAACTCCTTTTAACACTTTATCAACGTGTTCCCCGCAACCCACCCAAGTGGCCTTTCCACAGTCAAGGCATTTAACTTGTTTGCACATCTGATAAAGAGTTTATAACTATTTAGTCACTAAATTAAAATTTTGTAATAACGTAACTTTAACGGTTCTCCTACTTGCGTAACTTAAATAAATATTAGTTTGTAAGAAAACTATTTTAAAAGAAAGAGTAATAAATATAAATCTTGAAAGTTGTTAACTTTCTGAAAAATAACTGCTTTCATCCGCTAACCACTATTTAAAGAAAATTTTTACTAAGACATACTAGTTACAACAAGTATGTCTATAAATAAAAAGTGGTTAAAACATATTAGGACATATATTACATAATTTTAACAGTTTCGGAGGTTTTATAAAAAATTATATAAGATGGTTTTACGTAACAAACAAAATGACACAAAGCAACCATATATTAAGCGACCTTCACCACCTCAGACTCACCAGCAGCTTTGGAGCTATTGCATGGTTTAAAAATTATAGCGAATTTAAGTAATTACTACCTTACCAATAAATGCTACGATCAAGCATGCACAACCAGCTTTGTTTAATTTGGTCGAATTATAGTTTAAAAAAAAAGTTTGATAAGACTATTAAAAAGTAGGTTTTACGTATGAACATTTCTTTCCAATTTTTTTTTGAATGGCAGATTTGTATATATAAAGTGTAAATTTAAAAAAATAACAGTTCCCTGTTATAAATTTATAAAAAAAGTTTATAACAGTCATTAGAAAGCAAAAAAGAGAGAAAGTCCTTTAACAGATATAGGTATAAAGCAGGATATTAATGCTAACGAACTCAAAAGCGTTCGGCCAGCGGAACTAAGTTTTCACTTGTTTTTTTATCGTTAAAAACTTAAATTTAAACGCTGTTTAGGTGGGTTTTTCATGCTGTTTCCATCTTTTCTTTTACTTTTTCTTGTTTACTTTCATGTGAAAAAGTTGTTTGTCTGGTGCTAGTCTTTTAGAGGTTATCGTTGACACAAACAACTAAGCAACCTTAATAGCTTCATTAAGCATCATTGGAAAAGGAAGCTCAACAAGAAGTAAGAAACTAAAAATATTTGGCAAATCCGCTATCCACCATCTTATCTCATTAATTACTCTTGCTATAGCAATGAGTCCGTAATTCAAATTATAAATACATAATTCAAATTATAAATACATAACTTAGTATTTTTATTTAATTTTTTTTACTGATTTAAAGGAATATTCGATTACAAAGGAGCACAAAGGTCATCGGTCTGTTGAGTACATAAGGATATTAAGTTTTATACAGGCAACGCAAAATTTCTTATTTTGTAAAAAAACGGCATCCAAACATAAATTACATTGTTATTCTGAACATTTTCAGATGGGTATTTTGCTTCTCGTAATGAATAATAATATGTAATTGAATGCTTATTTTAAAAAAAAGGTGACAACAAAAAATCCTTTTATTTATATGTCTGCTCAGTGAGGTACGAGTGAATTTCTTTTTTTTTTATCAGCTAGGAACAAAGTCAACTATGAAGCAGGTGGTAATCTTTTAAGTCCGATCGTTGAAAGGGGCTCAGTTCACTTAAGTATTTTTATTGAAAACCCGTTATTAAAATTTATATAAATTAAGTATATTTAAATTTTTATGCACATTATATTTGTTTAAAAAAAAAGTAACTTTATATACAAAGTTTAAATATTAAGAAGGTGACAGTAATGAAGTGAGAAGGCAACCCTGTGCAAGGCTGCACAAGGGCTTGTTTGCACTTGGGTCCATTCGCGAACTGGGCGTTTTACGAATTAGCTATGTCCTCTAAGAAAAGTTTTTTAATTAGATTAGTTAACTTTTAAAACTAAAAGGAGAATTAACTTATTTTAATAAAAAAGAATTATAAGTATGAATAGAGACGTTATAAACTTAACTCGTCTAGCAAATAGTTTATCGAAGCTAGCCTCTACTGAAAAACCTGTTTATTCTACAAATTTAAAACTCGAAAAAGTATACATAGAAACCTGTCTTTTTTTACTTTAAAGAAAACTCAATATAATGACTTTCTTGTTAGTTATCGTTATTGTGGGGAATTAATTATGTAACTACTCTTAGTATTTGGAATCTTACTACTTACTGTTAGATTCCCTAAGAAACCGCGCGTAAGTCTTTCCATTTCATTTTACTTTTAATTAACTTTTGCATCACAATTCTAAGCCCTTCAGCCGTTGACTTTGCGGAGTTTCATCGTAAAGCTTTGCATTTCGAAAAGATTTTAGAAACTAATAAAGCTAAGGTTGTTAGCTTAGTATTATAGTTAACCTTTTGAACTAGTTTAAAATTTATATAATTTTATGATATCAACCTTATAAAAATTAGATGATAAATTTTTTTTTTAAAAAGAATAAACCAATTGAAGCTTAAGTAGTTATATTTTACTAAGTTAATTTTGTACTCATTTCAAATATAGAATTTTAATTATTTTTTTAAAACCTTTTTAACTTGCCAAAAATAAATTAAATAATATTTTGTAGACTTTTCTTAATGTGAACTTTATAGCAGGATCTTCTATCGAAAGATCTTTTGTATAATAAAAAAAATGCTTTTGATCTTTTAATTGTTCGCACTGCTAATCCTTCTGGTATATACATAGTAAAACTATTACTTTAAATAATAGAAAATAACTTTCATTATAATTTTTACTTTTAAGTGAATTATAATATTAGTTTGTATAGAAAAAAAAATAATTATGCAAAATAAAACAATTTTTAATTTTGGCATTATATTTTTTTAAATAGAAACGCCGGAGGAAGTGCAAGTACGTCAGCGTAGTAAAAATGATCTTTTTATAGAATCAAAGAAACTTCTTCTCAAAAAAGTAATTTTTTGGAATTATTTTTAATCAAACAATTTATTAATTTAAATTTTTTGTTTATTTTATTCTTAAATACTTCAAATATTTTTATTTTTATTTAAAAGTTTTCTTTTATTTTTATTAATAATAAAACTTTTTTCATATTTTTATTAAAAATAAGTATTAATTTTACAGATAATATTTTTTTTTAATATTTTTTATTATTATTTATTATTTTTAGTACTATTTATAGTATTTTAAGGATATTTTTATAAACATTTATATAAGTGATTTCTGTTTTAATTAAAAATTAAAATTTAGTTAGTTTTTTAATATAATTTATTTTTTAAAAATAATTTATTAGAATTAAACAATTATATTATTTAGAATACAAAAGTTTTATTTTGATAATTTTTTAAAAATTATATTTATAATAATAAAATTTAATAATGCAATCTTTTTATAAATGTTTTTTTACTTTTAACAATTAAATTTTTTACTTATTTTTATATTTTTAAAAACTTTATTAAACCAAATTCAAAAATTTTATAAATATTTTTTATATTTCACTATTTATTAAAAAATTGTTTTTATCGACCTTGAAAGTTAAACAATATTTTATAAATTATTTCTGGTTTTCATATTTTTATATATTTTTTAAATTAAAAAAATTATAATTTTTTTTTTTTAAAAAAAGAGTAAAAATTATAAAAACTTTACTATTAATAGCCAAATGAAACGGAGAGTTTTGATAATACTCACAAAGAAACTTTTGAAAAACAAATGGAAAGAGAAAGAAGTGAACAAGAAATGATTGCTCGTGAAATGCTGGAAATGACTGGATTAGTAAAACTTCTATTATATTTATATAATGTTTATAATATTTTTTTTTTACTTTTCTATATGCTTTTTTATATATATAAAAATTTATATTTTTATTAAATTTCTTTACATCTTTTTCAAACTTGTTTAATATAATACTTTTTATATATTTATTTTTATTATAATTATAAGAATAACATAATTTTTATTATCTTTTATGTTTACTAATAAAATATTAATAAATATATTTTTTTAATTTTTCTTATATATTTAATATATAAAGTTTTACTTTAATGTTATTAAAAATAATACGAATTTTATATTATTTATTATAAACTTTTTTTAAAAAAAAAATTTTATATAAAAAATTATATATAAAAGTTGTTAGTAATAATAAAAATATTAAAAAAATAAAATATAAAAAATATTCTGTTACGTTTTTACTAAGTATATTTTTTTATTATTATTAAACTTTTTTATTATTATATATAAATATTAATAGTTTATATTATTACAAAATATTTATTAACTGTTATTTATTTTATTACATACAATAAAATATTTTCATATGTATAAAAGCTTTTTAATTTTTATTGTATATAATAATTTTTATATAAACATTTTCTTTTTGATATATCTTTTTTATTAATATAATGAAAATTTATTCTTCTTTTTCTTTATAATAAAGATAAAAATTATACTATTTTTATTTTTCTATTACCTTTATAATAAAATATAATTTTTAACTAAAAGTTCAAGCAACAAGCAGAGAATACTCAAAGCATATTAAAAAGTGATACGCAGGTTTTGCCTTATTATTTTTTATTAAATATTTTGAATATTTACTTGTAATGAATATTTTTTTTTTATAAATAGTAATAATATATATATATTGTAATAAAAATTAAAAAATATATTAAAAAAAATAATCATAACTACTATAATAATTATATTTTTTAATATTTACTTGTTAGGAGTATTTTTTATTATATATATAATTTTGTTTTAAGAAAATTATTAATAATAAAAAAATATATTCTAAAGTATTTTTTCTTATTATTAATAAAAAGATTTTAAAAAGTTTTACTTATTAAAAAATTCTATATTCTTATTTTACAGTTTACTTTTGGAATTACTAAAATAGAAAACTGATTATAAAAAGTTTTATATATTAATTTTATTAAATTTTATAAGTCATTTTCGTTGAACGAACTAATAATTATAATTAGATAAAATCCTTTTTAAAAGATGAAATTTTATTAATAATCCTCTTGAGAGCATCTCTAAAATCTATTGCAATTTTTTTGTTAAGCGTTCGGTTAAATTAATAAGTTAAAACTTTTATTTAAAAAAACTTCCCTCCCGCTTGAAATTAGATGCCAATTTGTTAAGCGCGCAATCAGTTTTATAACTGAATTTCTTTAGTCCTCGTTGAATTATTGGAAAAACAGAAAATTTAATTTTGAATCTTTTTCAAAAAAAGAATTGCCACCTACCGATCAATTTAAAATTTCTACGCAAATTTGTTAGCTTATAACTGAAGTAATAGTAATTTTAAAAAGTCTATTAAAAGAACTTTTCTTCTAAAATTTCACTCAGCTCTGTTGAGCGCTTCATCCAGTTCATAAATCATTACAAAACTTCATTTTTAATTTTTTAGTTATTTAATTTGAAGAACAGAAAATAAATTAAAACATTAATTGATTATTTAAATTCACTTACTTATCCAATTATAATTATAACGCAATTTTGTTTAGCGCTTAACTAAAATAATAAAAAAAAGTACTTCAATAAAACTTTTTTTAAAAGTGCGCCTCATCAATTTTTTTTCTTTTGGCTTCAGTTTTCCTCAAATAATAAAGTCTATTATAAAAAAATTTAAATTAAATTTTATAAATTTAAAAATAGATTTTTTTAAGTATCGTATAATAAATTTAATGAATTAGAATTTCTTAATCTGTAAAAGTTTTCATAAAATTTTCCAGCAAAAGTATTATTTTACTAGGAATTTATTTATAAAATTTTAAAGCGCATTATTAATACTTTCAGCACTTTGTCCCTTTTTAGAGATTTTGTCTAGTAAATTTCAATTGACGTCTTTATACGATAATTTTTATAATTATTTTACTACTGTCACGTGGTTTTTCTATATTATTCCTATAAATTTTATTTTTTTATTATCCAAATTAGATATTTAACTTTTTTTCAAATTTAATTTCTTAATTTTTTTTTATAAAATGTTCCTAATCTCAATTTCTATGCTTAAAAATACCAAAGTTATAGTTTTTTTTTGCTAGCTTTGTAAATTAAATTATTAATAGCATTTTTAAATCGAATTTTATTCCAAGAGACTTTTTATTTTTCACTTTTAGTTATAATTTGAGTAATAACTTTCTTTTAATTTTAACAGTTTTTGGAAAACATTTTAAAATTATCCACGCAAAATGTAGAAAAACTTGAACGCGTGAATGAAAAACTAAAAAAGCATAATGAAATTTACAAGTCGTGGTGTATATTTGCCTTTCTTAGTATAGTCACTTCTATCTTCTTCGCAATGATTGTCATCATCAAACTTTTTCCAAAAATATAATTTAGTTCTTAATAAAAACGTTAAAAAATTCAAAAATATAAAATTAATTAAAGTTTTACTAAAAGAATTAAAAAGCTCCGGAAAGTAAAAATCTCAATTTTATCTAAATTTTAGTTGTCATTTCCTTTTTCTTCCTGATGACTAATATAAAAATTCAAAATAGATATAATGAATTTAGTAATTTTTATCATAAAAATCTCGAAATTTTTAAAACCATTAGATTTAATTTTTAGGTTTAGTTTTTTCCATTATCGCCCTAAAATGTGCTGAAACTTTTTACGAAATATAATGTTTAAATTTTGTTCTTATAAAAAAAAACTTTGAAAAATATAAACTTAAATAAAAAATTAAAGTTTTATTAAAAAGGGTAAACCTCTTTAGACATTAAATTTTTTAATTAAAAGTTTTTTTTTCTTCGCACTAAGTGGTGAACTAAATTCTTTAATGTAATTTATTAATACAGTTATTATTGTAATAAAAAAGTTAAAAAAAATTTAGAAACATTGATTTAATATCGTAAGTTTAACCTCTTCGATTTCACTGCCATAAATTGTGATCAAACTTTTCATTAAATTTAATTTTTAAATTTAATTTTTATAAAAAAAACTGTAAAAAAATAAATTAAAAAAATTAAACATCAAAGTTTTACTAAAAAGAAATAAGAATTTTGGGAAATTAAAATTTTTAAACATCAAAATTTAGCTATTTTTATAAATACTTTTAACTATTTAAAAACTCTTCAAAATGATAAAATAGTTATAGTTTATTAATTATAATTATAAAAAATACATGCTTTACAAGTTAAGTGTTTTGTGTTATATATTTTGTTTGTCTTAATTTAGTCACTTCCGTGTTCATCGCATTTAAATGTAATCATAAAACATTTTAGAAAATTTAATATAATTATTTCTTATAATAATTTAAATTTAATTTTTTTTTTTTTATTAAATTTAAAAACTAAATAAAACAAGAAAGGGTTTACTTTATAGTTGACATTTAAAATTATCAAATTTAAAGCAGTCTTAATAGTTTTCGGTAATAAACAATAATTTTATTTTTTTAAAGTGAGAGGTTAAAATTATTGCAATCATGTTTACAATTATATACTACTGTATTAAATTTGTATATTTATATTTAAAAAATTATAGTATTAGGTGAGATTTGCTCATAAGTAAAACTTTGAAGTTACTATTATTTAATTTTATGATCTGTTTTAATACTATCATACACAGTTTAATCGTGATAATTATAAGCCACGCTGTTTTAATTTATCGGCGATAAAAATTTAGGAAAAAAAAAGAAGTACCTTCTCGTATATACAAATATAAAACTTTAAAGTATATTACTTGAAATTGTAAAGAATAGCTAACAAAATTTTTCCTTAAACAGCACAAAATTATAAGTAAATTTTATTAGTTAATACTACGTGAACTTATAAAATGTTTATTTTAAACGAAAAAAGAAGTAAGACTTCATCTTTTGTTCAAAAGTGTAAGAAATTAGTTTAAAAGTGAGTAAGACCATTAGAACATAAAAAATTAAAAGTCGTGCTCAGCTCTTCTTTACCTATTTTTGTCGAAACTGTTATGAAAAACCAAAGTTAAAA